GTGGATGCCCAAAGCAACGTTGAGAATGGCATCGAGTTCGTCTCCTTCGTATCCGAAGATGTGTAGATTGTCGGGATACGTCGCCCTTGCTCTTCGCAGAGATTCGATGCAGGCGTTCATGTCGGCCAGGGGAGTTGGCTTTCTCCAAGTCGGCCATCAGGATGTCGGCGAATTCTAGAGAAGAGGAATCCTGTTCCGGGTGTCGCCCTATCTCGTCGTGCTCGACGCCACAAACGAGACTGCGAGTGCGATAGAACAGACTCTTTATTCTGTAAATATCGTCCTCCCTGCTCAACCTCTTTCTCTCCGCTATCTTTTCATTCAGCAACTCTTGTTCGGCGATGGTTTCGAAGTCGCACGGACGCCGTTGGACGATCACCCTCCTGTTTCTGACTATCGGTTCCTGGTCGGATAGAGGTGTCTCGTTGTCTTCCAGATGCAGGACGAGCATCGACTCGTTTCTGTTCATGCCTCTTCGTTCCATGATCTTTCTCTTGGCGTCTCCGTAGGAACCCACATTATCGACGGCGTACCAGTCCTTTTCCGATTTGAACCTGTATTGAAGTCTGGGATCTACTTGGGACGACATATTTTGCGGTATGTTTCCCGATCTCGAATCTCGGTGCACTTATATGCTAAAACAGTTCGCAGACGTCATCGAACTTTCGTGACGTCAAGGGTACCAGAAATCGCGCGTGAGATGTTATCGATGACGAAGCCTCGAACGCCCTCACTCGCAACGTCATCGCTCAAAAAACACATGACGTCACGTCGGTGAAGTCGAGGTTACGCCAGCCGTCTTTGGATGGATGACGTAGCGTTTTCATCTTCTTTATCACGGCGAACCTTCGAAGGGTGGCACAACGTCCAAAGAATTTGCCATGGAGAAGGACACGAAGACGAAGATTAGCGTATCCAAGGAATGCCGCAGCCGCCAAAATGAAGACGATCAGGTTAGATACTTCTTGGTTCGTCTCAGGTCACGAAGGGAACCGAGAGGTAACTCTTCACGACAGGTTGAGCGAGACCGGTTGGTATGGGTGGAGGGTGATCGAACGGGACGAGACCGACGAAGCTGAAGACGATATCCTGCCCACGTTGACGAACGGCGACTCGGATATCAAGCTTTCGGAATTCGTCGCGACCGAGCAAGCTCGCCGAGCTCTGCGATCGGTAGGCCGCCCGAAACAGTGGATATTGATGGATGCCGACACTCTCGTCTGTTACCACGAGGAGGAAGGGAGCATATTTCTCACGGCTCACCGACTCCCCGCGTACGTGTACCGAGAACTGTGCTGCACGAATCCCGATCGCATCCGATTCGAGTTCGCGACAGCATCAGCCGCGGCAGTTGCGAGCGCAAAGAAAGGCGATCCTTACTCGAACATTCCGGTAAGGTACGGCGATCGAGAGACGACGTTCGACGTTCGGGACGTCAGCGCCTTGTTCTACAAGGTGCTGCTCACCAACCACCCGGAATACGCGCATCCCGAATCATACCGAAGAGCGCTGAGTGCGAGCGCAAGGAAACCCCCTTGGAGGACCACGGAACGACAAAGGATACTGGTGCTGCCCCTGCCGCGCCCTGCGCCGGACGTGCGGTTTCGCGAGATCGCCATGAGATCCGTTGACTTCACGACGGAAGCGAGAGAGCGGCTGCTTCCTTTGCAACCCGGCGAATCGGGTGCGTTTTATTTCGGCGAACCGGTCGTCAGAGATAAGAAAGGGGAGGAGACGGTACTCAGGGCGAGCGACGTCCTGACTTCGGCGGCCTATCGCAAGTCGTACTCCGATCTAGGGTGGAAGAACGCGCTCGAATTCCGGAAGTGCATGAACGCCGTGTACAGGTTCACTCGTTGTCCCGTCGTCAGAAACGATCTGGCAGACGGCGAGGTCGATTTTCACTTCCAGGCTCAGCTTCCTTAGGGGAAAAAAGGTAGGATTCCTATCTTCAGTATGAACGTCATCGGTCACTGACGCGGCTGGCCACCTATGATGAAAGAATCGACGTTATGTTCGCTGATCTCGTCCTGCATCGCGACTTCGCTCGTGGTGGACGTTCTTCTTCAAGCGAACGTGCATCCGATAGTCGATTGGTACGCGATATTCCTGCCCACCTTCCTGTACGTGACGTTCGTCAAAGTCGGAGCGCCATCAAGTCTGGTATCGGCGTGCCGGCTGAGTCTCTGCGCGTCCGCCAACATTTCGTTCTTCACAAACCTGAAATTTCTGATCGGACCGTGCGGGGCATCGTATCTGGATCCGTTGCGGGAATGCGGTGCCGAAGGAACGGATCGCACCTGTCAACGAGCCGTGTCGGACGCTCTCAAATGGGATGCCGACCATCGTCGATGTTCGGTCGTGGAACTAGGAGGGACTGCCGGATCAATCTACTACTTCGTGCAGTTTGCGCTCGTGTACATGCCGACCGGAATAGCACCGGCGATGCTGCACATAACCAATTCGTCCGATGGCTTTCGTAGCGGCAGCGGTTGGGGGTGGTACAGAAACGCGGG